TTGTTTTTCACATAAAACTTCCGATACTAAGAGTTTGAAGTCTACTAGTGGTAAATAAAAGTTATCGGTATGAACTCGACGATATAGCAGCCATGCATTCACCACACACAAATCCAAAACATGGAAAAATATTTTGATATAATATTTTTTGGACTTGATACTTATTCTGTAGTAGCCTAGCATTGAATCGAGCAAATCGACTCCCCCCATATAAGAGTTATATGTATCAATTGCCTTGGGGCACGGTACCATTTTGTATTTTTTTTCACTTCTAAAAAATCTTTTTTTTTCCCCAATTGGCTAACTTCCAACATAAGTGGACACCATGTTCACTAATTTGTTATCGTACCACGAAACTGCTGATAATGTTACATCATTAATTGTTGTAAGTTTCTCACAGAAAGTGCCTCTACCTTTTTTTTTAAAATCTTTTTCACTTGGCATATTTAATCCAGTTAAGCGATTTAATCTAGCAGTTCCTAGGGGAAGAATACCTTCTTTCTCCAAATAAATTAGTAAGTCTATACTTGTAAACCAGTTGTCAAAAAATATCTTGTAATTGCAATTTCTTGGTATTGATGCAGCCATTTTTACAACCATATTGCTACTTACTGAGAATGAAGGCAAGTTATCAGGCATAATATTAGTTTGAGCACCAGCAAAAATTTCAAAATCATAGCTAAATCCAGATAAACCACTTAACACAAATACTTTATAGCCCCATTTATGGGGTTTTTTAGGGTTGTATTGTTTGAGAGATGATCTGGATTTAGTGGGTATGATTTGCTCGTCCACCGCAAGGTACTCTTCTTTTGGAATAGAGGTACATATAGTTCTAACTGCATCAATAAGGGGACGGACTTTAAACAATNGGGTCATTTTTATAGGTCACCTGATTACACTTGAATACCTAAACATTTATTGAATTTAATATTAAATAAAATTATATTTTATGATAAAAATAAAAAATTGATATGTATTTATATCATATATTATATTATAGTTTATCACTATAAACGATAAATAAAATGTTTTTTTTGTTGTAAATTTGAAGACTTGCAATTATCTGTAAAAAAAAAACAGTATATAATCAATATTTTGTTTATACTTTTGTTGTTTGAATTCTTCATATTTAATATTTTTAATTTCCTTTAAAAAAACATATTAAATAAGCCATTTTCTTTGTTAGTAAGTTTTTGATGAGACATGGTTTTTAATTGTCATGTTTTGCAAATATGCTATGACAGGCTTATGTTTTGATAATAATTCAACATTTTTACAGGTAAAGAATATTTTAAAAAGAAAATTGTGTATACATTTACCTTATGAGTATGTTATTTCATAATTATTACTCCTAATATATATTATTACTTCAAAAAAAAAATTAGTAGAAAAATTATACATTTCTTTAAATTTATCATATATATAAAGCTGAGGGTTCTTGAACAGCTCAAAAATGTAGAAAATTGTACTTTTTGTTATATACAAAATATTTTTCATGGTGTGGAGAATAATAAATTTAGCCTTTTTGAAAATTGTATTCTAGTTACACTTAAGTTTGAATTTCCTTATGAATTATTGAAAAATTAGATAATTAAAACCCAAGCATGACTAAACTTGTATAGTAAATATTATACAGATTACAAGAGAACGCGGAATGGTAGTCAATTTCTAATAAATATATGAGAGTAAGAGTGAAACTGTTGCATGTCAATATTAATGATTTTTCAGTAGTCTACTGAAAAATTAGTTAATATGGTATTTAGTATTTAAATATCAAACTCTTGTTACCCAAAAATTTAATTTCATAATGTCGATCCTACGCGAAAGCTGGATCGAAATATACCTAATATCAATAGTACTTTTCACATATTAAAATGAAAAGTATTTTCTCAAATTATTATCAAAGTTTCACATGATATCGAACAATTTATTTGTTGGGTTTTACGTGAGTTCAGACTACTTATTTTAAGTATGACCAATATAAAGGGAACGACTAGAATTTATATTTAAATATTAACATAAACAGAATAGAATTTAATTTTCAGAAAAGAAAGTTTAATTAATTAAAAATCAATTAAAAGGAAAATATCGATGATTTCAAACAAAGTTAAAAATAATTTAAACGTAATTAAAATTGACAGGATAACAAGACGTAGAAATGAATAAACAAATGTGTTTTTTAATTACAACATTCAATAAATATGGCGGAGTAGAAATTAAACAGTGTTACAAATGTACAATAATATAATGTAGCCTCCAAAAAAAGATGACATCATGTTACGCCAATTTTTGAATCTCTTAAAGTTGATTTTACGAAAATTTATTTTTAAAACGTTGAATTTAATAACAGAACTTTTTTTTAGGTTCAATATTTTAATATTTAAAATTACCATCATTAAATTGTAAATTTTATGAAGTTTTAAGAAATGGTATTGTTTAGATTGATATGTGATTAGAAACATTTATAATTACTATTATTAGTATATTTATGAGAAAGGTTCACGATTTCGTTAAAGTTACTGTTTTTTTTGCAGTTATATCGTCATAGATAATTTTAATAGAAAGCTTAGCAGTCAATTCTAGTAACTTCTAGCTTGTAAAAATATGGTGTGATTGAAATTTTCAGATCTTAATTAATTTTTTAATTATTAGAAAATTATAAAAAAACAGGTTAAAATGAATTTCAACAACATATAATAGGACAAAATAAAAAAAAATTCTTCAATATTAATACAACCTTATTGTTCATTAAAAAAATATATAGATACACAATAATGCACCGAAGTCCTGGGAAGGTTAATGATACATTATCAGAAAAGCCCTTTTATAGTTTTAAACGACAAACGATCTATTTTACAATCTTTTTGTGTACAATTTTGTCTTTTTAGCTTCTATGTGAATTTAGGAAATTTTCGTTCTACTATGATATGCGTTTTTTCTTAGATCTCACTGGACTATTAGCGCGAAAAATTTGAAAAATCATCTCAATTTTAAAAATTAAAAAAAAAAACTCAATATTATGCTATATTATTTTTCTATGGAAAACATCGCTACCATAAAAAATGATGAGCAAAAAAAAAAAATAATAAACCATAAAAACTCTGTCACTATTCATAACTAGGCTAGTAAAATTCGAGATGGGTTCTTTAAGGTCGTGGGCCCACGGGTGTAAGCCCTTAATCCGGTTTAAATGAAATCCATCCATGTAAAAATAAATCGTCCCATAAAGTAAAGTAAATTTATTAGTACATTTAATTTTTAAATTTTCCTACATTCGCAATACTAAAGAAAACACTTGACACGGTACCACATATTAGCATTACGCTTATTATACTTATATCTTGTTTCTCTCATCAGTCGCTTTATTACATCGCGATTCAAGCCCGATTACAATATCCCCGCTTTTTAACCAAGTTGCAAAGTCCATCTGCTGAACCACGAACGACCACCGAGCGGCGGCGACGAACGCTCTCTCCAACTTTTGACGACTCACGTAATACATCAAAAATTTTTTCACAGTACATATATTATAAATCAGTAAGTACTTAATCATTTAAAATTGTATTAGTAATACAAAAGACTTAATAAATTAGTTAATAATTAGTTGACCTAATAAAAAGCTAAATATGCTCCTACAAACATTAAAGAATGCTATTTTTGTGTTAAAATTGTCGATTTTGTATTTTATTTTAACTACAAAATTAAATAATTTTACTTTGTAATTTATTAATCTTTTAACTTTATTTGTGTAACAGTAACTGTAACAGTCAATAATATTTCAAATTTTTTGGTAACATTTTGCTATATAAATCATTTCTAAGAAAATTATTTTTAATTTCACGTGAATTTAACAATGGATTTTTACAATTATAACAAATTTTATAATACGCTCAATTGAGTACATCTTTTTAACAACTTTCTTTTATTGTTTTTTTAGTTTAAGTAAATCATTAAAATTAATTCAGTTCTGCATATTTCAACTGTAGAATTTTTTTAAACACCAAAAGTTACTAGAAAATGATTACTATTATTTCTATTTAAGTGATCCATTACGATAAAAATGCAAACAAATATAGAGCTTTTCTGATAAATTTACTATAAATAGTAATTATAAAAATTTCCGAGTGCATATTAATCTTAACAATATTATTTTAATTCTCATAAAATTTTCTATTAAATAAATTTCAAAATTTAAGTTGAGCTAAAAGTTATGGTAACAAATTCAGCTTTTTTTTATTATAAGCTTTATATTCAACTTTTAAAGACCAACAAAATAGGTTAAAAATGATATTATGTCTTAATTATTTTTAACATATTAAATATCAAGAACATATTAATAATTTAAAATCAATTTTTTTTTGTTTTTTATCGTAATAAATCATTTCAAAAGAAATATTATTCTATGTAACTCTTGGTGTTTAAATAGATGATACAATTGAAACATTCAGATCTATTTTCCTTTAAGTTATATCCTAAAGTTGTAACTAATTAGTAATAATATCAAAAATTATTGGCGTTAGAAAAATTTAATTGCTAATTTGAAATTACCACGAAACATTAAATAATAAAATTGTATTTATCACTCTGTTGAAAATTTTTTGCAAGCCATTTATTTATAAGTAACAACAAGTTATTATCTAAAAAGTTTTATGTCAAACCCTTCAATTTTTATACACGTTTACATAAAAGTTATAACTACTTTATAATTTTTTATTAATTCTCCGAAAAAATTACAATACTAAATTATTAAACATCAATCCCATATTATAATTTAATTGCTATGATAAATATGTATTCATGTTTTAAATCAAAAAACTACTAATCAGGAATAATAAAGGAAATACAAAATCGCATTGTTTTTGGTTTAATCCACCAACTTCCTAAAATTAATCACTATCTAAAGATTTGCATCGATGCGTTTTTTAAGATAATGATTTTAATCACTGTCAGATGTCATTATACTTAATCCCACTATGTTATGTCACCACTGTGTCGCGATCCCCCTGTGCTGGGTTTTTTTAAATTTTAATTCATCTATAGAATTTTAATACATAATTAGACACCTTTTTATTATTTATGGATATAATCCACTGATTAATTAAATTTTGCTAACTAATAAATTTTATGTTAAACGATAATGTTTTAGCTATTCTATTAGTAATATATCGCAATAATTTTTTTATCGATTTAAAAATAACATCATTATACTCTTTTTTTTCTGGGGAAATAAAAGTCATTTATCTTAGTTAATAATCGCAGATCTAAAATTACGCAGCGTACTTTAATCAAACGATTTCAAGATAAGCTGTGGAACGGCTAAAAATTATTACTTTTATTACCTGAACTACAACCGGTTGGTGGACAAGCAATTCATGTAGTTATCTTCAGTGATTGTATAGCTGTGTTAAACTGTAGCAGTATTTTAAACAGAATATCGTATTGATTTTACAGTATAGATATTAGGATGCCCGTTGTTTATGTATAAAAAAAAATTTTTGTTCGAAACTTGAGGAGCGCAGCAAGAAAATTTGTTCTTATACGTCTACAGATAATTTATTTAAAAAATTAAAATTTATACAACTTAGTATTCTGTAATTGTCATGANTTATACAATGTAGTATTCTGTAATTGTCATGAAGGCGATAAGGCCTATCGATAAATAAAGTCAGTGTGTGCTTGACCCTCCGCCGTGCTGGGCCGGAGCGTTAAGTGATCGGTTGTTTTGTCTGTTAATCGAATAATGTTTAATTGTCATAGTAATTAATTATAATTATATTACAAAAAAATACTTTTAATGTGTAGTTGTATAAGTTTTTGTTATTAATAGTTTTCACTACAACAACCATGTTAACAAGGCGCGCAAAAAGCTCAAAGTTTAATAAAAATATATTAAAATTGTAGTTTTGTATTTTTAGGCCTCAGTTTTCATTTTTCTGAAATTATTGTAATAACTTAATATTATAGAATCTATAATATTTGGTTACAATATTACAGATATTGTAACCAAATATTGTAGATATTATATTGATTTTCTTAGGAAAGATATCTTTACAATTTTTCATCAAGTCAATTCTTTGTTGTTAAGATACAGAAAACTCTGCAAAACTCGTTTTTTAACTTCTCACGCCCTTGCAATTAACAATTTTTGTTTTGGAGGGCAGTGTTATTTTAAACATTTAAATGTATATATTTGTAAATATTATTTTAGGTTATTTAAATGGAAAAAATATTAAATTTAGAAAATATGGACATCAGTTTCGAGGCAANTAATTTTGAAAATATGGACATAAGCCCCGAGGCAACCAGCTCAAGAAATTTGGACCACATTGATCAAGAAAAAAACATACAAGAAAAAATTGAAACAAAATTAATTAAAAAAAAAAAATAATAATAAAATAAGATACAATCCATACAACAACAAAATTAGTACACCTAAAATAATAGGAAATGGAGTAAGTATATTTAATTACCATATGTATGCTTTAGACTGACCAAAAAAAGAAATAGATAAAATTAAATGTTTTATGTATATATTTGATGTAAAAAGTGTTAACTTTTAGAATTTACAAAAATAATTTAAAAAATATATGCTTTGAAAAATTAACGATTTTATACCAAAATCCCATTTTCCCATTTTCCCATATTATCAAACTGTGAAAATTGAAATGCGCCTCTCAGTGACTTTTTAAGGTTGATCAAAAAATCTCAAATTTGGACGGCTACCTTTTTTTGATGTGCTATTGATTTTTGGAAAATCAAAAAAAAAATTTTTTTGTTTGGTTAGTTTATTATGTATGGGTTGGAAAAATAATTTTTGAAAGCTTGTTTAGTTTCAAACTCTCAAAAATTAATGTAAAAATATTATTACTTTTAATTTCTAAATTGTATGGGGAGTGAAATTTAAATTAAAAGAAATAAGAAATAGTCTCACTAATCGTTATATCTGTTAACAGAATATAATACATATACACACACACACAAAACCGGCCAACTTTGGAATAGTTAACCCCCCAAAATGTAAGTCTAACCAAATATATCATTAAGTTTTATTATTAATATATGTCTCTTATGACAGTAAAATGCTACCGATGTGGATTGATGGGCCATAAGGCTCGCGATTGTAAAAAACCAAAACGTAAGTACCATAAATCTAAGTTACTATTTGAATTTACAGTCTTGAATGGTACTCAAAAAGAAATATTTCAAATAGTGCATTTTAAATAATTATTTAAATAAAATCATCTATGTTATTAGCAGGGCTCGGGACTTATAGCATTTGCTAGAAAATGCTTTTGTTTGCTATTTTTGACGGTTTTTTCAAAAAACGCTTATTTTCAGTTTTTTTGATGATTTAATAAAAGACAAATGCTTGTTTCTTGTTTTTTCTGTTTTTGTACATTAAAATATTTGCTTTATGACGCAGCCTAACCAGGTTTTTTTTATCGGTTTTTGATAGGTCTAATAAGGAAAATAATTCAATTGTCTTCCTTGTTAGTAGGGTTTTGTTTTTGTTATCTTATCTATTCGATAGCCAACGCCATCCTCGGCATTGTTAACTTCTTTAGTTATGGTTGAAGTGTCATACTAGTGTGGTACTTGGTTGATTTCCTTTTTATAATGGATTTCTCGGTAAACAATATTTTTAGACCGTTATGGCATACTGGGATATCAACAAAAATGTATACTTAATTTTTCAAAAAATCCATTTTTGGGGATTTTTTGATTAATTTTTTTATTCATAAATGCTTATTTGAGTGCTTTTTTTTGATGATTTTAAGTGCTGTAAGTCCCGAACCCTGGTTATTAGTAATCAATTTTCGAATATATCGTTTTGATAATTAAGTTAAAAATTTTTTATTTTTAAACAAATTTCCCTATTTACAGGAAACTAGGGAATTTTTTCAATTATAAAAGATAATATCTTCAACTAGATACGATTTGTGATCTTTCGATGAATCAAAAGTAGTTTAAAAACTTGAGAGACACAAATAAATTGTAATAAAAAGAAAAGTGAGGAAAGTGGAAGTGGTTTAGGTTATATGGTTTGTGTTGGATTCATTCATATCCATCTTAATCCTACCTCTCATCCACTCAATCCTAATATTACATAAATATAGTGCATGTCTTACAACTACACTTACCTTGATATTCATCCGAACTCGTAGATAGATGATGAATTGTGATATTCCTTGTTGACGTCGACATTTTAAGTTCATTTAAATAAATAAAAATACTGGTATTAGGGGCAATATACTGAGTTTATTTCGATGATTTGAATTAATTATTTTAACTAATGTGTAAGACTAATAATTAAGGTTGACAAAAGTGACATGAATTTTACATTATTAACTTTATAATGAAATAGTAAGAGTGTGGGGGAATAAAGAGTGAGAGTGAACTAGAATGTATTGGTGTGCTAATTTTCATAGCCTTTTATATTAAACTAGTTGGTAAGGTGATGAAGGGCGGCTAGTTTTTCTTAAGAATTTAAATATCTTATTCTGCCTTCTGTTTGGCGCCATAAATACGCTTGTGGTAATTAAAAAATTTGACATTAATGTAAACATTGTTCCAAATGAGCGATATATTTGTATAAAGTAATAATATAACAGTCGGTCAGAAAAGTATTTAAAATTGATAATTATTTATGCAGAAAAATTATTCTAGAAGTTTCTCAAATGTTCTCGAAACTTCTATTTTAACTCTTTACAAAAAAACATATCATGGTACAATATATACCTTCTCTTCTTCGCATCGATGCTAACACATGATATTATATTGTATTGAATAAATAAATTAATAACTTCTTTAATATAAACATATAATATATGTGGTTAATTGAAAATAACAAAATTTCCGATCAATTGACCTATGTTTCATATTTTCGAGATTTTTTTGTCAGCTTTCAAGACTATTTTGAAAAAAAATCCCATTTTATTAAAATGCGAATACTTTAATCTTTTACCAGCACAGTAAAAATCAAGAAAGGTATTCAAAATTTTTGGAATAATTTTTATTTANACTTTTACCAGCACTGTCAAAATCAAGAAAGGGCCTCAAAATTTTTGGAATAATTTTTATTTATCTCAAAGACAAAATAAAAAATCAAGAACAAAGTATTTTAAAAATAACCATAATAAGAAACATCCAAATGTAACTATTATTATACCATTTTTTTCAAAGAATATAATACTTGTTGAAATATATAAAATCATAAAAATTATAATTTATTATACAATTATATTAAAGTGTTTTGACTAATATAGCTTTTTTTTTTGTTGTAGGATGCTACACATGTCTGCGAGAAGGGCATTTAGCCACTGGATGCAATTTTTAAACAAATATATTTTTTTTAATTTTATAAATCACAATTTTTTTTACTAAGAAATTTTTATATTTTTTTATTATATTCTTTTAAGTTTAATAACACCATCATTTATTTAATCTTTTTGTTTAAAATAACCAACACTTTTAATTAGACAATTAATTATATTATCATATTTATTTGGTTAAAATAACATTATTCTTTTCAACAAAAAAATTTAAATAAATAACTTAGAGAAATATTTAACACACGCATACTGTTTAATTATATTATATTACACACGTTTCAGAGATAAATAAATAATTTGTCATTTAAAAATCACTCTTCACCATGAAAAAATCTATTATTATTTATCTATTATTATTATCTATTATCATTATTTTTTACTCTGGTGTTATTATTAAATACAAAGTGTCAATCTTAATGTTAAGTATAATCAACAATATTAACGTTATATAAAATGTCAAAATTATTTTTATATTTATCCTCTGTAATAATTTTATATTTTATGCTGTCTTATCAATAAACAATAACATGTAACAATGAATATACATAATATAAGAATTGCAAAAATTCATATTTAATTATACTTTCAATTAACATTTCGGTTCAATTGACCACATTATTTCCCAATAAATCTTATACCATTGAAAAGCCCATAAAATTTGCTATAAGAAAAACATAATTTCAAGGTGTACAAGTGATGGAAACGTACCCCCCCATGAAGTTTTTTCAAAAGTATATTGATATATCGTAAAGCGTCGTATATGTTCACGGAAATTAATTTTTTAAGGCACTTGCCCACTTTGTTAGTCACTAAATCTTATACCATTGAAAAGATAAATATTTAAAAAATTCATTTTGTTTATAGTCGTTGAAGTCTGACCATACAAAATAATGCATATAGTAATTTAGTGATTTCTATCAATTACTTTTAATTCAAAATTATTAAATAGAAAACCCCTTGATAATAGCGGGTTCTGCAACCTAATGTTCATAACTAACCAATATGGTTACTTATCAGTTAATTTCGGGTGCTAAATTCACGGACATGAAACGGTCGACGGCGCGGTGATAACGAACACGTTTGGGCGTCGGATGCGCTGATAACGGCGAGAAGCATATTAACATTATGCCCACGAAATGTAACCCAGCAAGAAATTAGCCTCTTTAACGTGCTACACATTATTTATGATAACAGTTTGAATTTTACCGCCTTAATTAATTTTCAATTAATTTAAAAAAATATAGACAATGCTTTTGGTGGTGAAAAAGGTCCAACTATATTTCTAACTGATAATTCTGATGCAGAAATAAATGCCTTAAGTACAACTTGGCCTCATTCAAAATCACTTCTTTGTATATTTCATGTTTTACAAGCAGTTTGGAGATGGTTGTGGGATAGTAAAAATGAAATAAAAAAAGAGCATAGACAACTTTTCATGCATTCTTTTAGAAATATTTTATATGCTGAAACTGTAGAAGAAGCTTATGCTGCTTATCAAATAACTCTCGAAGAAGTAAAAATGTATTGTAAGTGGCAAAATTATATTACTACATTTCACTGGAATCATAAAGAGCGTTGATGTTTAGCATGGAGAAATCACATAAATAGAGGCCACCATACTAATAACTTTAGTGAAGTTTCAGTGAGAATTTTTAAGGAAAATGTATTAAGTAGAGTTAAAGCATACAATGTTATTTCAATTATTGATTTTTGTTGTACCAATTTAGAACATTATTATAGAAAAAAATTTCTCGAGTTTTCAAATGATAGAAATGCAACTGCTTGTAAATTTTTTGAAAAAATTACAAAATTAATTGATTATGTGAACCAAGAAGATATTAAAGTGGATAATGAAGAATACTATGTACCAAGCCAAAAAAATAAACAGTTGATGTATTGTGTTATGCCATCTATAGGTATTTGTTCGTGTACAGCTGGAATGTAAACATTTGTTTACATTTGTTTGTAAACATCAAGGTATTGTATACAAGTATATTAATAAAGTTGGAGTTAATTTACCTCCTGTTACAATAGAGGATAAACATTCAATTGCACAATTAGCACTAGGTAATAAAGCACCAAATAAATCATTTTATGAAGGTCTTTTACCATCAGAAGTTATTCATAAAAATGCATGGACACTTGAAGAAGTTAAATTAACCAGGAAATGTAATAGAAAATACAGAAAACAATATTAATGAAAATAGCATCTTTGGCAATATGGTTGAAGAAAAAAGTACTATTTCAGAAAATACTTGTTTGCCAATAATAGAAGAAATCAATCAAATTTTGTTGAATAATAATACTAAGTATGGAGGTTCAATCTATCAAAATTTACTGAAATTTAAAAATAGATTAAAAAAAATAAAATCAGAAGGGCAGTTTAACACATTTTTAGCCAATACTAGAGGAACCTCTTTACCTTTAAGACTAAGAGATAGTGCAACAATAAGAGTTCAGCCAACCACTATTTCTAAGAGGAAACCAGGCATAACAAAAGGAAGCAAACGTCTATTGGCAGGTGAGTATAATTTATAAATACCATTTGTCAATTAAACAAACATGTTACTTTTATTTTTAGGTAGACCAGCAATTTCAGAAAACAATCGCTCTAAGAAACCAAGAAATATACTTCAAAACATAACTAACTGTACGCCTAATGCAAAATCGCACTAATTTATTTCTGTTATTACATTTTTTAAATAATATATTTATAAATAATTTATAAAATTAGTGTTTTCTAGATATTAATAATAATAGTTTACTGATATCAACTGTTATCATAAATAATGAGTAGCCAATCAGAGCTAAAATCGCGAACTTATGAAAACGGGGACAACGAAAAAATTGAGCGAAGGTCGGAAAAGTCACGAAACCAGAAGGGCCGTCGAACGGTACGGGAAACGCGTCGTTCAGAAAGAAATTAGTATACAGAGTGATTTTTTTTATCATAACCCACTTAATTACTTACAGAATAATAATAATTAAAAATTTTTTTTTTATTATTATCTTTAGTTACACATTATTCTTGAATTATTAACTATGTAATACTTTTTAAGTTCATCCCTTATACCTTGTAAGGGGGTCAACTTTGTTTTTTTAAATGGTAACACATATTTTTAATTTAATAAAATGTTAGAGTTTTTAATTCAATAGTAAATGGCATTTGAATTTTTAATAAAACTTAATTTGTTTATTAGATATAAACATTTAAAGTTTCAAAATTTTGAGTTAATATATAGGTATAATACACAAGGGATTGTAAATACAGGTAGCTAATTGGATTTTTATGACATTGCTGTCTCAGTCACGGATTGTTTATTATCAATTATGACTATCAATAGATAAACTTTTTGTATTGTCAGTTAGTGTATTTATAAACTTCCCATTTAAAAAAACAAAGTTGATACCCTTACAAGGCATAAGGGGTGAACTTAAAAAGTATTACATAGTTAATAATTCAAGAATAATGTGTAACTAAAGATAGTAATAAAAAAAAATGTTTAAATTATTATTATTCTGTAAGTAATCGAGTGGGTTATGATAAAAAAATCACTCTGTATAGCTAGAGGTTCGAATTTTAACGGTCGAAAAACACGGAAAATTCTTCCACTGGTTGCTTACGAGAGGGGCTGCGATTTTAGTATACAGCTAGAGATAGAGATAGAGACTAGAGATAGTATATAAAGAGAGATTTTATGAGACTACAATATTTAAATCATGGTGGAGAAAGGAAATATTGATAATGGAATGTGATAAAAGAAACTTGAGACGCACATGTCATAACTGTACAATTAGAATTCATCATTGGGAAAGTTACCACCTCACCAATAACGAGATACAATGGTCATATAATGTTGAACAATATTTTAAAAACAAACCCATCAGATGGTTAACAAGGGAATTAGTATTATATGCCATTCCAGATGTGGAACTTGAAACGAGAACTTATTACAAAGACACGTTCATTGGAAGGCTCAATGGAGATTACAGGAACGCTGTTTGGATCAATCAATTATGGGGCAAAAGCATAACAAAAAACAACTTCATAAAAATTAATTACTGGAAGAAATTGATTTATTGCATTTTAACAACACTGGAACTAACAATAAGGAGTAATCTTCATTCTCTTGATATGTACGATTTAGAATATAATCCTGAAGATTATCCCATCTCTGTGGAGGATCATTGGGAGACCGATGATGATGAACAATATCTAGTGATAGTAGAACAGAATGAAAATGTTATAAAAAATTACAATTTATTAATTTCAATCAATAATATTTCATATCAGTATTTACCTTTCGACACAAAAATGTTTCCATTAATTTTAAATAATATAAAGAACATTATATTAGAAAATATACATGACATAAATGAATATATAAATAATGAAGAAGAGCAGTGGTAGATTATAACTTATTAATTATAATTTTTTTACTTATATAATAATTTATTACTAACTCGTATTGTTACTGAATTATAACATTAATTTTATTACTATTTTTATACTTATATTATTTATAATTTTGTGAAATCATTACAAAAAAAAAAATTTTTTTCACTTAATTATACGATGAATCAATATTGCTACTTATTATTATATATATATATATATATATATATATATATATATGTTATATATTTTGTACATTTAAATATTTCTAGAATAAGAATATTAAAAATAAAACATTTTATGATTTATTAAAACATTATTGTTTTAAGATAATGTTTATATTTAATTCCTTACATATTATAAGTTCAATTTTGTTTGGAATATGACTGTAACTAGAAAACAAAAATTGAAATATCCACCACCATTACTAGCAACGAAAATATTAAAAAAAAATTCCCCCAACTCCAACACTCAAAGTAATAACTATAAAAACATGTTAAAATTATTATGGAATGTGAAAATCAGACCATATCATGCTCACATAAAGAATTATGAAGTATATGGTTATAGAAAAGAGGAAAATACAACACCGCACACAAATATGTGGTTTTTAATAGAGCAGGTGTCTAGTCTGCGACTACCAATAGCATGTGATATTTTAATTCACCAATCAGACATGTTTTATACAGCCATAAGAGCAATTAATGATTATGGGAAAAGTACTCCATTTGTAATTAATCAAACTGTTATAAATTTAAAATGATAATTAATGTTAATTATAGAAAATATCAGCATAACATTTTAGAAAATTATTTTAAATTTTTAATAAACCAATAAACTTGTATTAATTGACATTGACATTAATGAGACAGAGGAACATTATAAACACATATATTTTAAAAAAAAAAGGAATTTATTCCAATTAGTTAATCACAAAGTATTAAATAACTCAAATTTACTAAGAAAATGTCTATGTGTATATGTACCCATGATAATTTTAACTTTGAATTATCAAAAATACTTTGCTATTATAACATCTATTAACATTAACAATTAGCCAGTAGGTATTACTAAAAAATTATATTTTATAGCATAGACAGCGTTTATATAACTAGTGTTATCAAATATTTACTGTTTGTACTATGTATTTTTTTATCAATGTTGTTTACATAGAAATAAAAAAAAAAAGGCTAAACAAAATACATTTTTTTCTTTTCTTGAGAACTATGTAGGGTGAACTATTTTTTTCAAATCAGTTATTCAATAGAAATCGTCACTATATGTTTGTAAACTATCAGTTAAATGATAAAAAATAAATATTCGTTATAGGCATTTAACTATAAATCCTAATTTAAATTTGATTATTTACTAATATAATTAATTAGCATCTAAAATGATTGATAGCATTTTACAAATTTTTCATGAGACAATTAAACCTCTACAGAGTACTTACAATAATGGTCTGTAGTCTGTGATTATAAAGTTTGTTTATATGGCACACAATTTATTTATATGTAGTTTTACATGCAAAAATTCTAAACATTAAATATACAGATTCTCTGTACAAAAAAATGACATAAAAAATAATGAATAACCATATAAGAGCTTTAGAATAAAAGTCATAAGTATATATATATATATAACTATAAACCAATTTCATTATTTTGTTTTTTTTAAATTATAAAAATTAAAAACAATTAATTATAATATTAAATATTCACTAACCTGTACTCTTTAAATGCATTAGTTCGGCATAATGAGTAAAATATGTTTGGCGCACAGGGTTCCAGTTTTAATTACCAGAATGTAACAAAATTATTCTTGTGATTTTCTCATTGGTGATGTCAGATCTTTGGTCCAAGCCAGCCATAATACCCATCCCATTCATCATTGGCCTAGCCTAGCCAAGAGTGCTTGATAATAATATGAAAACATTACATCTTAAGGATTTATTATGTATAAGAAAAAATCAATAAATTAAAATTTACAACAATAGTCAATTTTAAAAATGAAGAAAATATTAATAAAAATATAAATAATTAACTATTAAATTTTGTTTAAAATATGTTTTTAATACCATAGAAACGATTTCTAGTAACTCAATTCATTCACAGCCAACTTTTATAACACTAATTTTTCCTAGTATAAAATTTCAAGGATATTTTTATATCTATTCATTATGCTGAAAAAAAATAAATAAAGTAGAATTCACAACACTACTTTTATTTTAAATGAGTACAAAATAATTAGAAAAAAAACTATTTAATATTGTTGAAAATATTTTTTGGGTACCATCCTGGTTTGCAAAAATCGATTATATTATATTAAAATCGATAAAAAATAATATTGAATATACATTTTTAAATCCATACCTAATAGACATAACATGTATCAATAAAGGATAGTTATTACTTTAGTTTTCATTTTATTTTCTAGAAACAATGGAACTTTGATTGTTCGTCATTCTCTGCATTAAGCATACCCAACTTATTGTGGTGTATGCGATGGGGTAAATATGAATAAAAGTTTAAAATAGTAAAAAATCCAATACACAAAATAAACTTTTTGCATACATTGGATTTTACAATAACGCTACCAAAAGAATTTAATCCCTTTTTTTTCTTAAAATAATCAGTTACTAAATCATAAATGATGTCATATTTAATATTCCTAGTGCATGACTGTTCATAAGCGGAGATCTTATTAAATATTAGGAAAGCTAAAATTTTCAGCTGCAGACAGTCATATAGCCTTTGCCTCCACACCTCTTACTACAAATTTATATATGAAATATTGTAACACATTGCATATTTTTACTATTTCATTTTTATTTTTTTCATTGCTTTGAAACTTCTCTTGAATGTAGCAAAACTAACTGAAAATGTCTAAATAAATCGGAGCATTTTATAAGAATTAATCAATACTTGAAGATCACCCTTCAGTAAAGACAATTATAAGTGTAAATATATATTTAAATATAATAAATAGCAACTAATATTCAAACGCATTATCACTTCATTTTGTCTACCGTACCAACCCGGTCACAACAATAGGTTTCATTGAAATTTCCTAAGAAAAATTATAAAGAAATTAATCTTCTCAGTCTTAATTACTTATTATTATGTGATTAGATTATTTAAATTAGTTCCCTACCTTGATTTAATGATGAATTATTTTTATTGTGTCAGGCCTTGTAAACTAAATAAATTTTTGTCAATTAGACTTTCCATATATTACCTATTAGTGGCAACTTCTAGTTATTAGATAGGTATGAACAGTGTCAGTTTTTTTGACAGTTATGTTTAATGTCTTGTCCTTTTAGCAATACGAGTTAAATGAGTCTTTGTACTAGCATGAGCATCAGGCTTTGTTAGTTTTCCATTTTATAACAAACAAATAATAAAAGTTAATTTTTGAACAATAATTATGACACACAAAAAATATTAAACCTCATAAAATGAATGATTAAATCGATGGTTTTGTTAATGTAAATAGCTAAATATAATTCATTAGCTAATAGTAATCAAAATATATATTTAATATACAATATAAATATTATGTTGTCAATTTTATACATAATTTACCTCTAATTTTGATCTTTTTGGATCATTTTGTACTATTTGCAATATCCAAGCTGGATGTCTAAAAGACAAATTTCAAATATAAAAAGCGAAAGGACTATACGTCGTAATAAATCCAAAAATAGAGTAATTTATGTAATATGATTTTTAATTATTTCTTACTTGATTAGAAGTCATTGCTGGTTCAGAATTTTTTGGTTTAAAGATATCAAATAATTTAGAATTCATTATTTTATAAACAAATTAATACAAAAGTAAAAAAAAAACAAATCTGTGCTACAATACAGATTTATTTCTCCACATAGAGAAGGCGCAAATTTACTATGATAACGAACGATAGTATTCCACAGCTAAATATAGAATTTGTCGAAATAGTGTACATGATATTATTACTGTCAATATAACGCATAGGCCAAAGAATGTTAACAATAGCATTATGTATGTTATTTCTACCACAGAAAATATAAATGCATATACTATTAATATTTTATAGCGTTATAACTTTTATTAATAAAATATGCATTTTGGTAAAAATAAAATGAAGTTTATATACAATTAATATATCTATTATAGAGAAATATATTTTTCATGTTCAAAACCATTAATTTTTACAACATACTGTGGGGACGCTTCCATTGCGAATACTTTTTTCAGAAGGGTTAAATCTCCCATCCCGATCACCACCAATGGGGCTGATCTTACAATGTCTAACCTGATAAATGGGTGGAATAAACTATTTAAAATAAAATATCACAATAAATATTCTTATGTGTTTATCATAAGTGTACACTGCACTGCAGCAGTACGATAACACTCCATCTTTATCATTCCGATAGCACTTATTATTTGTAATCCTATTTTTATATATACATGTATATATATGTTGTAAAATTATTAATTATTGTAAATTATTAATTGTAGTATTTTTAATAAATTAATCTATTCACAACAAATGCAAACCATCGTGTAAATACCACAAAACTAAAATTATCTATTGTTGAGACGACCGACAGTAGTGAGTTTCAATGTGCAATATTTATTGCTGATAAAATAACAAAAATTCAATACTTAAGTGTTACTGTTGCGGATTTATCGGTTTGGCCCGCAGATCCTAAACAGAAACGCAGTAATATGGAAGATTGTAACCCTGATTTATTTGCAACCAACGGGTCAATAATAAAAACATACGACGAAAAATTAATTGTTGTAAATTTAGGTTAGGTTTTTAGATGTTGAATATGTCAATAAGAATTCATTTTTGTCAATAAATGCCTTTAAAAATATAAGTGTAAATAACTGTGCTATGTACACATATTTTTCACTTACGATGTTAAATATCTTTTTCTTTTTGATAACATTAGAAAGGATATTCATCGAGGACGTGTCAAAAAATTCCCCACATATTCCTTGAAGTTTAACGCGATACTCTTCGGGCTATTCACAATTCTTTTCATTTAATTTGGTAACTGTTAAATTTTGCAAGTAGTCATAATTTCTTATGACAATCCAATCTCTTCTCTCTAAAGACGCTATAATTATGTTCAATAATATCGCAAACGAATTTAACGGCTGTTTCCTAAAATAGTCATTATGTTCGAATTGCAAAATTCGCGTTGATTTCAAGATTTTTGAAATTTGATTTCGATGCGACTAAGACTTCTAGACTGATTGAATTTCACAAGAGCTTATATGTTCTTTGTTCGCTGGTTAGACTAAAAGCCCCAATGCATTTTTAGTTTACTAGATCTTTTATACTAATTTTTTTCCATTTTTTTGGCCAACGATAAATAACGTTGCTAAAACAAATTTAACTTTAAATTGTTAATTTATTTCAAAAATAAATATGTTATTCACGATCGCCATAAGTTGTTTTCAGCCAATATTTAAAATATATTTTTTCAAATTATACATGTATACGTCAGAATAAAAATCTATTATAATTTAATGACCGAAATAAGTTATTATCGAAAGAATGTTTTAAAAAAAATATTCTTTGTTTTATAGAAATAGTTTTTAAAATATAATTAATTTTCAAGGAATTGACAGTAGCTTTATTTAATGAACATACTGGTACGGTTTGTAACTTTATATTAATTATATTTTATTAAGCAAATTTAATAATTGTTGGCCAATTGTTAAAAATATTTTGTTATATTAATTGGCTTAAATAAAAAGTAAACAAATCTTTTTTAGCCAACGACAATTAACGTTGCTAAATAAAAAATTTTCATTAATTCAAAGATAAATAAGTTATTTAACGATCACCATAGATTGTTTTCAGTAAATATTTAAATTTTTTCAAATTATTCATAATGTTATAAAAAAAAAATGTTTACTCTTAGTTTCATAGAAATAGTTTCTTTTATTATTTTACTGCACAGTGAAAGTGTAGAACATTTGGTTTATCTTAAGCATATTTATCTTGTCGAAATTATTAAAAATCAAGACATCTTAAGAACTATAATAACGGTTTTCAAAGAACAAAGTAAAGGAAACTACAATAAGATTATCAAAGATATTAATAATCCATATGACGCTGACCGAAATTATTATTATTTTCACGTATGGATTTAAAATATTTTAGTTTATCAAAATAAAATTTTCAACATTATTAGAGTCGTAACTTTACAATTAATTAGAAAACATCTAATGAATTTAATTAATAACAATTAAAAAATGTTGAAAAGTATAATAAACAAATGAATACATTTTTTATAGATAATGATGATACATTGACTAAATGATTTTTCTTTGAATTTTCAAATATTAAAAAATTATTCTCAAATCGATCAACAAATGTACATAAATCCTATAATAAAATAAATTATAATATTATATCAAATATTGAATTATTAATAAAAAAAACACTTTTGCTGTTTAATCATTTAAAATATTACAAACAGAAGTATATAACGAAAAATATAACACGAATTCAATTGATGAATTTAAGACACTACAGTCTAATATTCAAATAAGCAAAGAAAAAGAAGAAAAAATAAATCAATTTCAAGATATCTAAGATATAAATGAATTGAATGATAACTTCCTAAGATTAAATAATTTTCTACAATACTATATAAATTTATTTAAGACTGTTCAGTCATTCAGGAATATTCATTGGCCTTACATAAGTATAACAATGTCATATTGTCAAAATATAAAAACTGAAAGATTTCTTGATCTGTAATTTGTAATTGTGCTATACTTTTTAAAGTCATCGAAATATGAATTATGTTTTTCATAATATATTACAATTCATAAAAATCAAAATTAAATGTTGAGATTTAAATAATAATGTAATAAACAATATGTAATCAGTTGTGCGCATGTATTTTTTATTGCACTCCAAAGAAGAATGAATAATTTTTCATTGAGATTTAAATATTTGAATGATTTAACAAAATAAGTGATTCATAGATTCTGTCCGTAATCGGGTCAACAAAAGTAGTCAAATGCCTATAGTTTACAGAAATTGTTTATAACATTTTATGCTTGTAACATAAAATATTTTTATTATATTAATTATTTATTTATTTAATATAAAGTATATGTATAAATAAGATAATTAGCGCTGGTCAGTAGCGAACGGTATTTTATTTTTTCTATTTTGTAGAATATTTTTTTTATATAATTCACATTTTTTTTCACATCCGAATAAAACTTTAGGTGCGCGTCAGTGTGTCGGACTTATCTTTAGGCGTCCGGTTTACGACTGACTTACAATGAAAAACCTACGTTGCACCGCCCCCTACCTATTCTATAACAAAAATATCTCCTATTTCTTCCCCAATATCAAATAAGCGCCATAACAGTAGTTTCTTTGGAAAATGCATGAATAGCCTTATTTTTAGTTTAGATCACAATGGGCTAGATTTAAAACAAAACGCAACAAAAAAGAAAAAAAATCATCATCTCAAAATTAAATTTTATATATAGAAAAATACGTGTTCGGCCAATTATAAATAACGTTTTGAAATTGATTAAAACTATTTTAGTAACGACACAAGTATCTAACATCAAAGTTGAAAATAATCGTATAATTTACAACACCACAAACACACACATACATCAAAGTCCAGTATTTAAAAATTAAATTTTAGAAAGCACTTTACTGAAATCCTATCCAGCAAGTATAACAGGAGAACAAATATATAGGATTAAGTTCAATAATGAAATAATAAATTATTATTAAATGTTTAAAAATCATAAACAAAATATATAAACTACATAACTATACTACTCATACTACATTTCCCTTTGTTATTATAAAATTATGCCATAATTTTCATTATTTCCATAATTCATTTTTATTGAGTAAAAAAAAATCCTTTCACTTAATTTCAACAAATTTTTACTCAAAATTTAGTAATTTTTATGCTAATTCTTTTTTAATTAATTTAGTCTATAATTTTAATAATCATATCTTATATTTAAATACTAGACAAAATTTTACTGTTACCATTTTTTCCCAATTCGTTTAAAATTAAAAAAAGGTATTAATTATCGTTTTAGCTTGATATCGAAATTATAATGTTAACCTAAATACATTTTCTGAATTGTATGTAATGATACAAATGTTTGTTTAGAGCATGCTTTATTTTTACATTTTTTGTGAACGGGAAAAATAATAAGTTTGCACAATTTTTTGAAATTCAAACAATATTCAAGTTTTAATACAATCAGCAGATATTTTTAAAAAACAATTATAAGGTTAAAATAAAAATTACTTCACATTCATAGTCAAATAGTACTTAATTAATTAAATACAAACATCATCTTAAATGCCTATCCTAGAATTTGAGATTACCTAAATTTTCTATAGTATTTTTTGTGGCTTTATGAATTTAATATTTTTTAGTTTTAAATTGTTATTTTAAATATACTTTTAATTTTAAATAATATTAGCCACAAGTAAGAATTTTTTATTAAATCATGTTATATATTAATATTATAAGATAATAAAATATTACTTTCACCTCTAACCATTATATTAAATTGTTTATAATATTCAAAATATTTATCAAAAAGTTGTTATTGATTAGTTATTATATTTTTTAAGGATGTTCTGAGAGTTTCGTCTTGGCAGGAGATAAATATTTACATAAGGCGTTTTTCTACTGCACTCAAAATATATCGTTGCTATATATTTATTTTATTATTGGGAGTTCTATCCCAGTTAGAATTCTCATTATTTCAATTAGATATTTTTTTAATAAATAACGTTATTTATTATAGACATTCCTATTAAAAATTTAAAGTTGATACCCGTATAAAACATCGGGATGAACATGAAAAACACTTCATGATTGAT